TATCTTTGCCAAGTTTTAGTATTAGGGTTATGCTTGCTTCATAGAATGACACTGGGAATGTTCCTTCTTTTTCTACTTTTTTGGAATAATTTAAGTAGAATTTGTGATAGATCTTTTCTGAGTGTTTAGTAGAATTCATCTGTGAAGCCATCTGGTCTAGAACTTTTTTTGCCAGGGAGTCTTTTTATGACCTGTTCAATTTCTTCTTTTGTGTTTGGTCTGTTCAAGTGTTGCATGTCTGTCCATGTCAATCTGGGTGGGGCATGAATTTTAAGGAATTTGTCCATTTCATCTAGATTGTCAAATTTGTCAGAGTATAGCTTTTTATAATATTTTAATTTTATAGATTTAATTTCATTTGGTTCTGTTGTGATATCACCTCTTTTCTCAAGTTATTTCTGTCTTCTCTTTTTTCTCTCTTTTGTTAAGTTTGCTAGTGGTTTGTAAATGTTATTTATCCTTTCAAAACACTATCTCCTGGTCTTGTTGATGGTTTCAATTGTTTTTCTGTTTTTTATATCTTTTATTTCAACTCTTGTCCTTATAATTTCCTTTCTTCTAGAGGCTTGTATTTCATGAAGTTACTGAGTTAGATCATTAATTTTGCTTCTTTTTTTTCTTTTTCCATGTGTGTGCCTATTTCTATGAACTGTCCTCTGAGGACAGCCTTAGCTGCACTCCAGAGGTTTCGATATGTTGTATTTTCATTTGTTTCAAGGAACTTTTTAAATTTCATTTTTTATTTCTTCTATAACCCAATCAAATCATGGTGCTATTTAACTTCCACATAGCTGGTTTTGTAAGCTTTAGCCTTGTGTGGCTAAGTTCTAGTTTTATGGCATTGTGGACTGAGAATATATTTTGTATTATTTCAATGATTTTGAATTTGTTGAGGCTTGTTTTGTGTCCTATTATATGATCAATTCTGGAGAATGTATACCATGTGTATTTCAGAAGAAAGTAAGTTGGGTTTTTGTTGATAATATCCACAAAGTTGAGTTGGCTGATTGTACAGTTTAAATTTTCTACATCTTTCTTACTTTGAGTTGACCTATCCTTTGGTGAGAGTGATGTGATAATGTCTCTTGCTACTTTTGTGATGCTTTCTGTTTCTTTTATATTTGAAATACAACTTTACTCTGGTTCTAAATGAAAAGGATTGGAATGACAGTAACAAAGATTTTTTTTCCATGTGATTTGACTGTAGCAGTCTTATATTTGAAACTCAAGAAGAAAACTACCTTCCAAAACAGCTAAATATGCAGGTCCAAAAAAAAGAAAGGGGTTTTTTTTTTCAACTGCCACAACTCACTCCGAAGCCCATTCGTCTCTCCTTCAGCATCCCAAAGATTAGCATATGTTCTGCCTAGATAGATAATAAAGAGGCAAACACGCGGCACCACTGAAATTACAGGACAGTTGACTATAAAACTAGACTTCTGAGGCTGGGCTCCAGCTTCATTCTCTCAGAGATTGCCATCCTTGTCCAGGAGAACTGTGCAACCTCTAAATCATACTCATATTGTGCTGCTAAAGCTGGGTCCATGACAACTTCCAGTGGGGTAAGAGCAGGCATGGCAACGAACTCCAAGGTAGAGTCTCCAATTAGTTTTCTAGTAAGCCACATGAAAGTCTTTTCAAAATTGTAGTTACTTTTGGCAGAAATATCAAAGTACTGAAGATTCTTCTTTTGGTGGAAAACAATGGATTTTTTCTTTTTTTAAAAAAAATATTTTATTATTTTGTGTGTGTGTGTACCGTCAATCAGACCTGACTGGTACAGGAGGAGATTGTTCCTCCTTCCTCAGCAGAACATCTGGTGGTTTTGAACAGTGCACCTCTGAGATTGCAGTGCAGCTTCTTGCCACTAGGCCACCAGAGCTCCCCCGAAAACAATGGATTTTTTCTTAACTTTCCTGTCCTTAATGTCCACTTTGTTGCCACACAACACAATGGGGATGTTTTCACATACTTGAACCAGATCTCTATGCCAATTATGCACATTCTTGTACGTAATGCTTTTTTTAATTTTAATTTTGTTTTATTAATTTTAGTAAACATTTACAGAGATTTTGGATTTCCATTCATTTATTGTTACATTTTTCTCCCTGCCCATCACTCCCCCCACCCCAGTTGGCCCTTCTCTTTGAAAAGTAAAAGGAAAAATTCCTTCATTGGTATATAACCACCCCCCACCCCCAGTACACTCCACTATGCAGCCTTCATTCTGGACTCTTGTCATAACCATAATACCCAATCATATATTGTTTTTAAACTGTTCTGTCCCTCATCTGTTTCAATGCACTATATGTTACATCAAATATTATAATGGCACGCTGGGCTTGGATATAAGCCATCCCTCAGTCCCCCAAATTTTTCCTGGTCAGCTGTATCACATACATTGAATTTAATTGGTCTTTTGTTGGTATGGAACACTAGGGATGGACCCCTACACCCAAAGTGGCTACATACTTTTTGAATTCACCAGTCAGATGACGTTTCGTGAATGACGTTTTTCTAGTACCACCATCACCCACCAACACGAGTTTGAACTGGACTTGGGGTTCTCCTTGGGCGGCCATAGTGATGGTTCTTCCAGAAGTGTCTCTGGGCCTCGTCTGATTGAGGGATGGAAAGATGGTGGAAGCGCCGGTGCTGTTTCTTTCTTCAATTCTGTGGGTGTAGATAAGTTAACAGGGTTTCTTGTCAGAGGCAATTTCTGCCAACCCAGGAGATAAGTTAGGTGGAGCACCAGTTCAGGAATGAACTGCACCTAATAGGTCAGTTTTATTTATTTTTTTTTAAATTTTATTCTTTTCTGTGTGTATATGGTCAAATAGGATCTGACTGGTACAGGAGGAGATTGTCCCTCCTTCTCCAGCAGAGCATCTGGTGGATTCGAACAACAAGTCTCTGGGATACCTAATAGGTCAAGTTCATGCATTTCACCTAGTAGGAGTGTGTGTGTGCACGTGTGTGTGTGTGTGCACGCGTGTGTGTGTGTGTGTGTGTGTGTGTGTGTGTGAGAGAGAGAGAGAGAGAGAGAGAGATCTCTACCAGGAACAGACTGGTTGAGAAGAATGGACATATCCTTGCAGGAAGACATAACTCTTGGCCTGGGTAATAAAAGCCCCAGAGGTTTTTTCAATTATTCTTTTCAGTGACAAAACAGAGAAAATCTGTTGGACCCAGAGGTGATATAATACATTCCCCGAAGGTAGAACACTTGGATGTCAAATCTGAATCACATTCTCAATTTGTTTTTCTTTTTTACCTGTGTTTGTAGTATTTAACTTTATTCAGAAAGTTCTAATTTTTAAAAATAGTGGTATCTTGTCTGAATTTGGTGTTCTGCTTAGAAAAGTATCCACACATCAAGAGAAACAATATTCTGCTATTTTTCTGGGCAAGTAGCCATAGTCAGTAGTCCTTGGGTTATGACTTAAAGTTTCTATTGACTATTTTACTTATTTAAAAATATTTTTATAGTGATTTGAAGAAGATAAACAGAACAAATCAACTTTGCATTCAACAACACATATAAGTAATATTTCTCAACAATTCTCACATTGTAATCGCACTGGTTTTAGCACTCTTCATTTCAGTGATTCCTGTTTTCATTGTTGTTATGTGCTGTTGAGTCAACTGCAGCTCGTAGTGACCCTATGTACAATAACTCTGAACCCTGCCTTATTCTGAGTCAATCGCACTGTGTCTTACACACCTAACCCCCATTACCACACTCACTGAGTCACTCCACCTCATCCTGGGTCTTCCTCTCCTACACTGTCCCGCCACTCTTCCAAGTATGATGTCCTTCTCCAAGGACTGGTCCTGTCTGGCAATATGTCCAAAGTATATGAGATGGAGTTTTAAAATTCTTGCCTTCAAGGAGCTTTATTCCTGGAAAAAATGCTGACCTTTTTTTCTTACTTGGTTGGTTTTCAGAGACAGTAAAGCACACAGGAAGAGACTGTCTTCTCCGACAGAGCAGCTGGTAGATTTAAACCATGTGCTTTTGGAATCACAGCACACTGCTTACCACCGCAAATTTCTTTCAGAATGACTTGAAGGAAGTTAGAAAGACAAAGCATTCATAGTAAAAAAATATTTCCGTTGACAAGAAATTATCAGCAAAAAAGCAAAGAAAGTAACTCTCTGCAGGATTTGTAAGTCACAGAACTAGTGGGAACAATTTGAAAAGCTATGAATTTCTTGGTCCCTCCTACATTGCTTGGGAAGTTTTTGCAAAATACTTTCAAAATACTTGCAAGGAGAGGCTAGTTCTTGGAGAAAGACATCATGTTTTGTAAAGAAGGTTAGCAAAAAAGGGAGGAAGACCTTCAATGAGATGTACTGATACAACAACAGTATTAGAATTCTGATTCCTTCTCTGTTTTGTCACACAACGTTCTCATTGTGTTCATGGTTCATTAACTGTGTTGCCACATAGTGTTCTCATTTTGTTCATGGTATGTGGTTTTATAATAGATAGGGAAATCAGAAATGCTGACTTTTAGTTTTGTTTTCGCCATGGAGATGGTCTTCAGGGTCACACATTTAAGCAATGTCAGAATTGCTAGTAAATACTTGTTCATAAAATGCTTTGTGGCTAGTAAGGAAACACCATATTGGTCTGTTGTTGTACTGTTGAGTCAGAACTGACCCACAGCTGACCCTCCAGTGGATTTTCAGAGGCACTTAATCAAATGGGAGGAGACTGCCCATCCTTCTCCTGAGGAGCAACTGATGGATTTGAACCGTGTGCCTTTGAGATTGCAACACAGCTTCTTATCACTAGGCCCCACACTGGTCAAAAGGTGTATTATTCTTTTGTGATAACATCATCATTGTCACCATCCCCTAATTTAGAAGTGCCTATCTGGAGAGGAAATTTTGAAGAAAAAGAATCCGATATGTGTTTTGTTTATTTTTGTTTTGTGAATATATCCAAAGCATTTGTTTCTAAACCCCTATTCCTGCTTCTCTTCTTTCTCTAGGAAAACCACCGATGCCCAGGCCTGATTACAAGCCACAGGAGCCCAATGGCTGCGGCTCCTATTTCCTGGGTCTCAAGGTACCAGAAAGTGTATGTACCACTAACACTGCCTTGATTGGTTTTATTGAGACTAATCCAGCATTATCACTAATGGAAACAATCATTCAACAGAATCAAGTTGAGCAATGTAATTAGGTATTTTAAATTGGATGTGGTAGGAAAGGGAAATCATTTGCAAGGAATGTACCTGCCTTCATTTTGTCAGAAGCGAAACCTCTTTGTTTAGTGGGCTGAGAGAGTCTCTGAACGGTGCAATGTGCTCGGTTATTAATGGAAAGGTCAGAGGTTTGAATTTCCTAGAATCCATTCACCTTTTCGAGTCAGAAGAAGGATTTACAATCTACTTTGAAGAAGTCATTCACTAAGAACCAGCTGGAGTAAGTGCCATTTGCCACGTGTGAGTTTCCCATGAGTCATACTCGACAACAAGTCACTGTAATAGGATAGACAGGAGCCTGGATGGCAGAACACATTATGTTTTGAGCTGTTAATCAAGGTTGGCAGTTCAAACCCACCAGCTGCTTAATGTAAGAAAGATAGAACTTTTCTGTAAACATTTCTAGCCTTGAAAACCCAGTGGAGGGTCAGCATGAGTTGATCACACTGATTTGACTCGAGGACAGTGCACTCTGGTTTGGTTTTAGTGACCAGCTCTTGAACTCCCCTCTGCAAACCTCTGCCATCTCTATCAGCCCGACAAGCTGGACTTAAATGAACGAGCCTTTCCTGCAGTGTGCTAAGCTGGGGAGTGCTGACGCATGCAAGCTGATTTTCATATTGTCAGGAACTTTTACACTCCATTTTTTCACATATTGGTAGCTTCAAATCTTCACATTTGGAGAATTCTCATTACTCATTGCCGTCAAATCAGAACCAACTTATAGCTGACTCTTCACTGAGTTTCTGAGGTTATACATCTCACACAAGGAGACTGTCAGTCTTTCCTCAGTGGAGCTGCTATGGATTTAAACCCCTTAGAGGCACGGTCTTTGGGTAAAGAGTACACTTCCCGATGGTTCATGCATCATGGAATTATGCAGACATGGCAAATCGGCTCAGAACCAACCTATTTGCTAAACATTTGCCGACACATCACTGACTTTTCTCAAACTGGAGGCCTCCCCTACAAATCAACACACTTCTATAAATTATCTTGGAAGCAGTGTTTTTACCTCTTTCACTTCAGAAAATTGGTTTCATGTAAATAAATATATAGAAAGATTTGATATCCAAACTATGTTCTGAAATGATTTCTTACTCTTGCTAGATTTTATTTTTTATTCTGATTCAATCAGTTTTGCTTTGTAATAATTCTCTAAGAAACAGAAACTTAAGTCTCCTAACTAAAATGCTGCTTACCAACGTGGCTGCTTTGTGAAAAATGGAAAAATTCTCTTTCCTCAAGAGAGTTTTCTATTATTTGTCAAAAACTATCTCACTAAATCGGTTTTGTCAGAACAAGTGGTTTGACTGCCTCTGGTTAGAGAATTTTCCCAGGACTAATTAAGTCCGTGGTGTCTGATGAGAGGGTGGCCCCTTGTCTACGGCGTCCTTGAGCTCAACACAAGCTGCACAGCTGTACGTGTGGCCTTATCCACAATCCTCAACCTGCGTGCAGACACAGAGGAAAAAACATTCTCTCAAAAATATGTTATTGATATTGTTGTTAGGTATCATCAAGTTGAGTACAACTCAGAGCGACCCTGTTCACATATCTGAACCTCGCCCCATCCTGCACCATTTCTGCTCTTTCTGATATGCTCACACCCTTTTGGTACAATTACTGTGTCAAACCAACTTGTTGAGAGTCTTCCTCTGACTCTCTACCTTTCCCAGGTAATTTTTCTGATGTAATTTTCCAAGGGCTGGTCCCTACCTCATGCCCAAAGTATGTGAGATGCACTTCCTCCAGGACAGTCTATGATCTGAATATCCAGAGGATATTCAATCCTCTTCTCCAACATCATGATTCAAAGACATCAATTCCTTTTCTGTCATTGTCACTGACTGTCCAACTTTCAGCTGCATAGGGAGTAATTGAAAATATGATGGCTTAGATCTGGTGCTTTGATTTCTTAGTCTTTACACGGACACCGTTGCTCTTTAGCACGTTGGATAGGTCCTAGACAGCAGATTTTTCCATTGCTACAAGTCTTTTGATTTTTAATGAGTATTATCACAAGTGTTGATAGTAGAAATTTTTATTCCAAAAATACAAATTAAAGAAGGAGCAGATTTTCAGTGAATGTAATTTACTTGATATCCATCCAATAGCTATGGGATTGGTACACATTTTATTTTGGGATTAATGCACTTTTGTTTGCTGACTTGAATATTTGGAACCCATTTTGAGAATTCTCTAACTTCATTGAAGTGTTGCCACAATAGTCATCTAATTCCCGAGCGTGTTTGTTATATTTGTACTTTGAGGAATAAACTGCAGGCAGAGTACTTGATTTCAGATATCGAACTATAGGAATTCACTCAGAGCTGCAGAGCCCAAGCCTTTGGTTAAGCTAGTGAGTTGGATTATCTCTTAATGTAAAGCTGTTTGTTTGCTTCAAAAACCATTCTGAAGTGCTTAAAGTTTATATTCTGTTTTAAGTGAAGTTGGAATAAAAGTTCAAATGAAGGCATACTTAAGAATGCCCAGCTGGAAATGATCTACAATAATAGTTCATTAATCAACCCTGCCCACACTGAGAAACCAGATTTTCAGTTTCCATCCAAGTTCAGATCTATATTATCAGAAAAACTGTTAAAGATTTTAAGACTACACCTGCTCCAAATTTTCTCTGTACTATGAAGTAGTTTTTTTTTCTTTTATGTCACTGTTTTCTAAAATTGAGATTTGACTGGATGTTTGCAAAGCAAATTGGTTTTCCATTCCAACATTCATACATATTTTGTTTTATGACATTTGTTATGATCCCTACAATGTAACCACACTCTTCCTACCTCCTTGCTGGATTTCACCTTTCTGTAAATCTTTCTCCCCTACCTCTCCTGACTTCTGGGCCTTGTCATTGGGCAAATGCTTCCTTATGGACTTTATAGGGTAGACTATCCTAAGGACTTAGTGCCTCCCTGGTGTGTCACTGGTCACCTTACAAGCCTGTCTGTTGTTTGACTAAAAGTTGAGCCACAGGGTGAACTATTTTCCAGGTTCAAGGGGTGATTAAGGGCCATCATCTCAGAGGCTCCTTCCATCTTCATTAGACTAATAAGCTTGACCATTTTTATGCTTTTTAGTTTTGTTCAACATTTCTTACCCACTGGACAGGACCATTGTCTCTTTCAGAGGGGTCAACAGTGGAGCTGGACACCATCTAGTTCTTCTGGTCTCAAGAGTCATGGAATTTCAAGTTTTTGTGTCTCATTTGTTCAGAAAACTCTGTATGTCATTGCTTCGCTTCTCTTTATTCTGGGCAGAGAAAACCCAGTAATTGTGAGCTTAAGACCCTAGTCACTACTCACTAAAGTAGGATGTAGTGAATCTACTTCTTTAACCATTGGTTTTAATACATTCTTTTCTTTCTCAAGGGTCTTCCTTCCACCTTATTTTACCCAAACATAATAAAATATTTTTATTGTTATGCATATAATTACTCATGTAGATAGTGTTTCATTCATGTACATTGTGGGCTGCAATTGTGTATGTGTTTGACACTTTCCTACATTGGCATTATGTTTCATACAATATTCCCAAACATGGTGTTTTATAAAATTAACTACCATTGAATTATATCATCCATTACCCTGTCTTTTCAGGTACCCACTAGATCTTTTCCATTTCCTTTATCCCCTCACTCCACCCACCAAATTTTGTGTCCCTGTGACTTCCCTCTCTACTTGTTCTACCCCTTAAATATTTGACTAATTATCCTTCTATTTTAACAATTATGATCTTATCAAGTATTTGTTCCTATTTCAAGGGTCTTTATCAAATCTTACTACTTACTTTTCCTTGATTTTCTATCTAATTTAAAAAGATATTTCTCTGCAAAGACTCTTCTAAGACTCAATAAACAACAGGCATGTATACTATCTGTTCAGTCAATGTCTGGCCACACAGATGTCCATGATTCTAACCCCTAAGTTAAATACTTAAGGTGTTGTTGTTGTTGTTGTTATGTGCCGTTGAGTCGCCTGCGACTCATAGCAACCCTATGTACAACAGCCCTAAACTCCGCTCTGTCCTGTGCCAATCGCACTGTCTCTGACACTCCCATCCCAACC